CAAAATCCACGTTTTCTGATGTCTAGAGAGTGATTTTCAACCACAAGAGTTTTTACCTAGGGCTCCTGGATCCCTCAGGCAGTGGTCTTAAACTCTAGTGTGTGGAAACTCACCTGGGGTACTTGCTTAAAAGGATCTGGAAATGACCCAGGAATTTGCATTTTTAATTATATAGAAAGTCCTGCACCACACCACCCTGTGAGAGCCATGGACAGACTTCAGATGGTTCTGTTTAGCCCTGAAACTATGACTACATGGATTTTTTTCAACAAGAGGGTCTATGAGGGTTTAGGAGACTTTCATTAGCTTCTCAAAGCAGTATGCAAAATACTGATACCAGCTCAATACAAGGTTGACATAAGGGAAGCCATACTGTAGAAAAGAGACCATGTTGTAACTTTGAATGACCTCTGATAAACTAACCCAGCTGGATATGCACCCTCCAGGAGATGTATGTGCTCTGTAGATTTTATGGCCCCTCCCAGCTGTGATAAGACAATAACTTTGTTCTTTGAGTTCCCTGGGAATGTGATGACCCCTGGACAGAGATTCTATACTGCTATCCATGACAACTGAAAGATCCGGTGTGGTGACTCCCAGTCCGTAACACCAGAGAGAGAACATTCCTAACCCCCTCCCCTATAAGCCATTGGCCTATATAACTGCTTCAATATTCTGCCCTCTTGGGGGCCAGCCCAGTGGCGCAACGGTTAAGTGCACGCATTCTGCTTCTCAGTGGCTCAGGGTTCGCCGGTTGGGATGCCGGGTGTGGACATGGCACCGCTTGGCAAAAGCCATGCTTTGGTAGGCATTCTACGTATAAAGTAGAGGAAGATGGGCTTGGATGTTAGCTCAGGGCCAGTCTTCCTCAGCAAACAGAGGAGGATTGGCAGTAGTTAGCTCAGGGCTAATCTTCCTCAAAAAACAAAAGAAAGATTCTGCCCTCCCCTTAAGATGGTTCTTTTGGACATTAGTCCCCCCATCTTCCACCTTGCTAGCAAGCTGTAATAAAACCCCTTCTCTCCTACCACCTTGCCCCTCAACTGTTGGCTTGTCTTTGCGTTGAGTAGAAGACCCCATTTTGGCGGTAACACTACCGTGATGCAATTAGGAGCAGTAGTTTCCAAGTGGAGGCGGGTACTGGTAAAATCAGTCACACAGCCAGCAATAAGAATTCACAGTGAAACACCTGGTAATGGGAAGAAACACTACAAAGCCAATATACTAATTAGTTTTGTAATCCAGAGCAGTGTCCCCTAAGCAGTTATTTTTGAGAAAATCCTAGAAGTTACAAGATGTGTTGGTAAACTGATATTCATTAGTCAAAAAAGTTTGGGAAGCGTTGTTTTAAAATTTTTTACATTTTATAAAAGTAAATACTAGAGACTTTAATATACTAATTTGCATTGTGAATCACTTTAAACAGTATTTAGTGTGTAGTGATTCCCAAACCTATTTGATCATAGAACCCTTTTCAAATGATTATCAGCTTGAGAATGCCCATTAACAGAGGGAGGCATTAGTGTGCCCATAGTGTCCAGCATAGAAATAAGTAATTTTCATTGTAACCCTATCATGAAGAAAAATTTAAATTGTGTTCTAAATACTCTAAGTAACAGGACAAAGAGAATTTTATATGTGCGTTTTAGAAAAATTTTTATTGAAATTATCAGAGGGGGGTGCTGACCTGGTGGCATAGTGGTTAAGTTTACGTGCTCTGCTTCAGCAACCCAGGGTTTGCAGTTTTAGATCCCAGGTGCAGACCTACACACTGCTCAAGTCATGCTGTGGTGACCTCCCACATATAAAATGGAGGAAGATGGCACAGATGTTAACTCAGGGACGATCTTCCTCACCAGAATAAATAAATAAATAATCAAAAATAAAATAAAATTATAACAGGTAAGGAACCCTCAACTCTCTAGTTATTATTTACATGGACTTAGTCATTGCTCGTTGATGGTAATTAAATAATATCTTACTCTAAAATGGAAACGATTTTTTCTTTATAATACTCTTGGGAATTAGGCGAAATTTGTATTTCCGAAGAATCATAGCTCATCCTATAATAAGACAACAATAATTATTTCAGATATCTTAAAGCAATGATTGGTGGCCAGCTAAACATAGATGCCTGTGTGTAAACATGTGTGTCCAAAATTTCTTGAAGCAAAACAGCTTCATGGTGATAAAAAAAAAAAAAAAAGATAAAGTCCTTATTGACTTAGATGGTGAAGGAGAACTCCTGGGTTGCTTGTATCAAGATAAGGTTTTACGGAGAGGTGACTTGAAGGAGAGGAGTAAAGAAATCTTGAAAGAAGGAGGAAAGAGTGATTAATTTAGTAAAGGCAAAAGTAAAGGGAATTTCTGCTGGGGGAAACCCTTTTCTAATCTGATTAACAGTGAAGAGTTGAAGGAACAGAAAAATAGATATGCTTAGGCAGATAGAAATCATGAGCTAAAGTGTGATGATTAGAACACTAGTCCTGTGAGATACTGTGGGGAAAAGAAGACAAATAAGTTTGGGAAATGCCATTTCATCCTTTGTGTTTAATTTTGCTTTGATTGGACTTTCACAAAATGAATTTATCACAGGATTATTTTCCCCATAATTTAAGAACTCTCACGATACCCCTTGGGAGAACACTGAGCTAATAGTAATAGGAAATAAAGACCACTACGAATTAATGGAACTCTACCATAATCTTTGCTTCTTTGGGACAAAAATGATTGGATTTAGGTCATACATTTTACTCTGTCCTCTTTCATTATTAAATTATAAAGAGTCATTGAATTAAAATATATTACCTTACAATATTGTTGCACTTCTGGAATACGAGATCCTTCTGAATCCAGGTCATGAGGTTAAGACTTCTTCATGTAGACTCCTCAGACCCTACTTAATTTTTAAACAAGTAGCACTGGTAGTTTGTAGTTTTTTGACTCAAAGATTTTTTGGGGGGGTGAGAGGAGCTTCTTTGCTTACTTTATAAATATTCACAATACTTCCAGTTTATAAGTGAGCTACACAAAGACTTCTTAAATATGTTTAATTTCTAGTCAAACTATCAAAGAATTAGGAAGAATTCTTAAAGTTTTTGAAAATTTGGCTTATAAACATTTTAGTTCCAAAAGGAACATCTTTAAGTTTTAGAAAGTTAAGCCAGCCCTGCCATCTACATGAGCAAAGCTTGAAAGAAATCAAACAGACCAAATGAAAATCAAGCAACAGCTAAATGAAGCATAATATGTTTATTTTCTTTTCTTTTCATTTTTGGGTTGTGACTTTAACAGAAAACCTTACTTATACGTGTTGGTTGTACATGCTCACATTCTCTGGCATGCCTATGGAAGAATGGTAGATATGAGAAGGGCTGTTAGAGACAGACTTTGGCATATGTGGAGCTAACATCAAATTAGAGACGACATAGAGTTTTTGTAGGTACTCGTAAATTTTTTAAGCCTTTTTTTACTCTTCAAGAACAGACTGAATTCCGCAACTTAAGTTGGTTGACAAGTCTCTCTCATATTATCTGCAAAGATACTATGACATCTTTGGTCCTCAGTGAAAAACTATCATACGGTTACAAGTTTGATGTCACCATTTTAAAGTTTAACTGAAGTGAAGTAGATTGCCCATAAAATTGTTATATTTCTGGAACCTTCCTTTTAAATCCATGTGATGAAGGTAATCTTTTTTCACATGGAATCGCTAGACCTTATATCATTTCTAAGTAGCACTCTTAATATTTTCTCTTCAAAGGCACTTTATGCTTACTTTATATGAGTTTACAAATTTTCCAATTTGTAATTAAGCCTCAAGACACTATTTAAATATATGTTTTAAGAAGTGGCAATAATAAAGGAAGGATTCTTTAAGTCCCTGAAAACCTGGTCAAAAGAGCCGTTTGGTGAGGTCAATCTTATCCTCCATACTCTTAAACAGTGTAAGATGTTTTCCTATCATATTAAAATGGTAGTATGATGATGAATACCATAATTATAAAAGGAAAAAAATTAACCTTTCTTTATCTTAAGTTGTAGTGTCCTTATGAAAGCACTAGATATCACAATTATTTAAACAAGTTATTTTTAAACATGATTTCATGAAAAATATAGTCTAGATTTAATAGCTAACTTAATTTACTTCTTTTTATGGTATAAGAACAAGTCTTGTAAGGTCGTGAAGACATGTACCTTTTATCTGGTTTTTTTTCCTTAAATTTTTTGGTTTAATTTCAGACTTAGAAAAAATATCCAGATTCTCCAAATGTTAATATTTTACCACATTCCCACATTTGCATTCTCTCCTTTTCTTAAAACTATTTTTTTCAGGAACAGAGAATATTGTGAACTGAATTATATACTTCAACGTGTATTTCTTAAAAACAAGGGTCTTCTTTTTTATAACCACAGTGTAGTTGTCTAAATCAGAAAATTAACAGTCTTGCAATAATAGCATTGGATTGTAGATCTTACTCAGATTTCACCAAATTACCCCAATAATGTCTTTTATAATAAAATAAAATGCTGGTCATGTATTGATTGCAGTTGTCATGTCTTTTTAGACTCCTTTTGACTAGAACATTTCCTAGTCTTTGTGTTTCCTGACACTTTTGAAGAGTACAGACCAGCTATTTTGTAGAATGTCCCTGAATTTGAGTTTGATGTTTCCTTGTGACTAGATTCAAATTATGCCAGACTTTTTAAAAAATAGAATTGTATAAGATGTAATTTTACAAGAACAAATCACATTCCTGTTTATAAGTCTGAAAATCAGTATAATTATTTGTCATGTTTGCATCAAACAGAATACTCATCTCCAACTTACCAGAAGAAAACACTCTCCTAGGAGATTTTATATGTATTTCTTAAAGAACAAGCTTGGTTTAATTATTGAGAATCTTCTCAGTTTTGATGGTTTATAGAATCATAGCTTGTTCTAATATTTAAAGAGAAAACAAATAAAATGTACAATCGTATTGATCTTCTCTTTTCAGTTGCTCCTGAATGCCCAAAGAAAGGAAGCAACTTTTTCCTTTCCTTAGATGAACTCAAATTCTTATCACAGCTCGTAGAATCATTTGTGAAGCTGGAAAAAAGTGTCGAAGAATTGTTTGAAGAAATGTTTTTATCGCTCAGGAGACCCAGGAGTACTTCAGGTAATATGCTCTTTTGTTTAAATTTCTAGATCTAGACGGCCAGCCCTGTGGCGCAGCAGTTAAGCGAGCACGTTCCGCTTCTCGTAGGCCCCAGGGTTCGCTGGTTCGGATCCCCGGTGTGGACATGGCACCGGTTGGCAAAAGCCATGCTGTGGTAGGCGTCCCACGTATAAAGTAGAGGAAGATGGGCACGGATGTTAGCTCAGGGCCAGGTTTCCTCAGCAAAAAGGGGAAGACTGGCAGTAGTTAGCTCAGGGCTAATCTTCTAAAAAAAAAAAAAAGAAAATTTGTAGATCTATAATTCTCCCTGTTGTTCCTTCCTGCTACTGAAGCTATCTCATTACTTGAAAAAAAATGCATAACAGAATTCTTTAAATAAACTTTAAAGTGTAATGCACATCATGAAATTACATTTTTATCCTTTATATGCAGCAAGTTCCATAATTCTAATTGACAAAACATCATAAGTCAATTCTGGATAATTGTCTTTAGCTAAAATTAGATTTTTTTTTTTTTTTTTAATTCCAAGAAACCCATCCTGGCCTTGGGAAAGAATGAGCAGATCAGATGATCTAGTACCTCTCCTTCTGCTGCTAGCAGCCTGATGACCTTGAACAAAATATTTTGTTCCTTAGACCTCCAAGTTCTCTTGGAATGATGGTGTGGGACTAGACTAATTTTCTCTTTGTTTTCTTTCAGGATTAGATGCTTTAGATTCCAATATGTTACGTAGGGTTGTGAGGATTACATGATTTCATGTATGTAAAGTATTTAAAAGAATGTCTAGCATATTATAAACGATAAATCTGAGTTGTTACAATGGTAATTATAATATCTTGTTTTTAGTTAGTCTTAACAAAATCGTTTTGAAGAAAACTGTACCATGTGTGTTGAAATAATGTTTCTAACATTAAAGGTAGAATTCAAAGGCATAATGGTTAAGACGTGTTCTCTGTTTTCAGATCTGTATTTATAAAGATTTTCATCTATATCAGAATGAACTACACAAAGTTCTGTTTTACATGATACCATATATCATTTTTAGGAGAGTAAATATAGAGAGTGGCTGAATTTGCAAAACAAAATGAGGGAAGCAAGTGATTAACAATCAATCTAAAAATTTCAAAACCTAATTTCTTAGTAAAGAATTACATTTACTTTAATATGTTTATTTTTGTATTTCTTCATTTGCTTTCCCTGGGTAATTTATGTTAGAAAGTTATAAGGTTGGAGTTTGTTTGTTTTATAATTAGCATAACTTACTAGCCTTCTATGTTTCAGGTTAAGTTTAAGTAGCACTGTTAAATTGTAAAGTAAATAATGTAGATCATTTTTCCAAATTTGGAGATAATTTGAAGAAAAAATGGAGGAGGATTATAGATTTCTGACACACACAAAAAAAAATCCAATGGGAAAATAAAAAATATAAGACAGAAGATATGAAAATTAAAGGACAGAATGGAAAAGTAGATTTAATTAGGAGATTATGTAAGCCCTAGAGGATCTTCTACATGAAACTGACTGGGTCTGAATAGAGAAATATGGCATACTAATTTTTGACTGACATGTTGGCGCCTCGAGCAGTTGACACTTGGTGTTGGTGCTCATCCATCATGCCTGGCTAAGATTTGGCATTCCTCATTCACATCTCTAGCAGATCTTTTCTGAGGTGTGGATCAAGAAAGAGAGTGAACTCTAAAACATCTAGACTCCTGCCCATTTGGACTCATCTTGTATGGCTCCTAGGCCAGGCCCTAGAAAAACCAGATCAATTCTGAGAACTTTATCCATCTTAAGGGCAGCATAATTCAAAATTAGAAGTATGTTAGAGAGGTATTGGAAAGGTATAAAACTGAAATGGCCAAGAATTGAAGCAAAGGGTTGATAAATTGATTTCAGAAAAAAAGAGAAAAAGAAAAAGCTGGTTTGACTCTATCAGGTTAAGATCAAGCAATGTTGAGGCTTCAAAATACATATTTGAGAGCCATAGTTACCATTATTGAATAAAATTAACAGAGCAAATATATAATTATGCCACTTTATACTGTTTTACCCCAAATTTGTCATCATATAAGAAGTATGGCAGATAAAAGCAACTTCAAAATCACATTAATAATAGTGTACTGTAGAAACATATTTGTGGATTATCAAACATACTATGTGGAAGAAATTTTGAAGGACAGGCATAAAAAATTTCAAAGTACCAGAACCTCCCCCACGATATATGTGTTCTTCATTGTTGAGATTCACTTTTTTGTAACAAAGCCAAAATTTATTTAATCTGACATAACTTTATTTAAATGGCTCCTTGAAGATAATGATCTTGAGAGAAATTCTCAAGAAAATCTAAAGTGTTTCATTCAGTGTAGCCAAGTTAATAAATTCTTATCAAAAACATTGGTTTCTTAAATCAGGAAGAAAAAGATTCCTTGAAATGGATGATTAAAGAAACCAAATGTATCTTAAGTTATCCTGATAGTGAATGTTTTACTTAGAAATCTTGTGTGGGAGAGGATGGGGGAAAAAAAGATCAAGCCATTTGGTTTCCTGTGTATTTCTTTTGATTGGAGCATATTTTGCTAATAAAGATCTTGGAAAGAGTTGCCTACTATGTCTATGTAACCAAAACAATGTGATGAAAAGTGAGGGTTTTTTTTTCATTGTTCAGATGTTTTAAAAATATCCAGGTGTTTAACATCACAGAGAGAAAATATAAAGATGATTATCCAAATATTTTGCCTTTTACTTTGATGTTTACTACTATATTGTCAATTTACCCAAATTGGTAGTGCTCTTAGTAATTTGAATATGATGCAATAGATTTCATAGACACAAGAAATATTTTCTGAGAAAGAAAAGATATTTAGTCATTATATTTATTTGCTTTTTTTGGTCATGATTTGATGGTTTTCTATTTTGGCCATTTCAGAAAATGATAGGATGTTATGTGACTATTATGGTGCCATACTGTATTTCTTTTAGATGATCATATCTAATGGGGTGGCCTGAGGTTTGATTTATGGGGCATTTCTAATTCTCCTTCAGAATAAAGTTGTTCTTCGGGCAGTTCCTCAAATTTTCCAAAGGTGGCATCTGAGATTTATCTAAACCAGGAGGCTTCTTGGCCCTCATTTTTCTTTAGCCCCAGCAATGACAAAGAGCAATGGCTGCTTCAATTGGATGTAAGAAGAACACTTAGGGTTTGTCTCAGAAGAATCAAAGATTTCAGATCTTCTGAAAGATTGTTTGTACTCTTAGGGGGTCTTAAGAGGGGTCAAATGGCTTCTAAGAGTTCCTTAGCTAGATGGTTAAGGGATTGTATTAGGGAGGCGTATGTAGTTAAGGTAAAGAGGCTCCTAGGGTTTGTAAAGCTCATTACACTAGGACTTTAGCTGTTTCTTGGGCAGAGAGGTCGAAGGCTTCCACATTGGAAATTTGCAAGGTGGCCACCTGGGCTTCTCTTCATACTTTTTCATAGTATTATCTCTTGGATGTAGTCTCTTCTACAGATTCAGCTTTTGGTGGGAGGTTGCTTGTGAGCCAGAAAAGAACAGTGAAGAAAAGAAAGACTTGTAGTTCCCACTTAGAGCTGCCAACAAGGCAAGTTGCTTTGTAGTGCACACAATGGGAGCCTATGAAGACCAATTTGGGTGTGAAAGTGGATGTCACAGGGAAGTACTGCCAACCTCCACTCTCAATGAAAGAAAGCAGCAGTGTGGAAACTAACCAGAAGTGTAAAATGAACCACAGTGAACTCTGTAGGGGGAGGCTGTTCAGCAGCTGGCATTCCTGTGAGCCTCTGCACTCTACTGAGGTCCTTAATCTGGGCGTGCTCTTAAAGAAACCAGTGTTGTTTGCATGCAAATAACTATGTTTTAGAGCAATGAGCCAAAAATGGGCTACCTTTTCGAGACAATGCTAGTAAGTGTATAGAACTTTTGATATATTTTAAATAGGTGAAATAATTTGTCTCATGTTAACAGAACTCATAAAGTTTGACAATGCCAAATTTTGAAACTGGCCATTTTAAATTCCAAACAAATATAAAAATGCCGCAATTCTCTAAAACCAAGAGCTATCTGATTAGTCTAGATTCAATGTTACTAATCCTGCCTAAAAATGATCCTTTTCGCTTCTCTATATAGGATTAAGTTTTTAAAAAATCTTTTTAATTTTGGGAGGGAAAGATTATATTATAAAGGTTATCATAATTACTTGATAACTTGTTTCCCATCTCATTATAGAATTGCTTACCAGCAAGAGAAGTCTTGGGAAGCTTATCTTTTTTTCTTTCTCATCTTGAAAATAGGCAGATGGTTTGTATAAACATCAAAGCACATTACTTTGAGTGAATAAGCATAATGTATTTGGGAGTGAAATGATAAACATAAGATAATTAACTTTTTTCATAACTCTTAAACTATAGTTACACAATGGCAGATAGTTATTTCCAGAAATAGATCTGCAAAGCTTATCCTTCAAACTAGCATTATTTTTCCAGAGAGTAAATACCTTTTAAATTAGCTGGTTTTATGAGCTATCTGTAGAAAAGTAAAGTGACATTGAGAATGCAAGTGTTGTCCCTCTCATTTGATTTAACAACTTGATCTTTATTATTTTTTCTTCTTTAAATTGTTTTTTGAATAGTAGTCCATGCATATAGTAAAACTTTTAAACACGACAAAAGAGTATATTGTGAAAATTAAGTCTTTTTCCACTCCAGTTATCTGCTTTCCCTTTCTAGAGGCAACTACTTCCATATATTCCCCATGTTAAAATAACACAAAATCTTGTCATACTATGCAGAGGTTCTTTTTTATTAACAGTTATGTAGAAACATCTCATTCTTTCTAGCAGCTGAATAGTTTTCCATTGATGCGTGTGCCATCATTTGACCAGTTACCCATCGATGGACATTTAGGGTTCTTGTTCCCTCTTCATTTGCTACCACAAACAATGATACGGCAAATTTCCTTGAACTGTCTTAATATGTGCACATGTATAGCTGTATGGTAAATTTGTAAAGTGGAATTGCCAAGTAAAAAGGTATGTCATTAAGAGGATGAAAAGACAAGCCATAGACTGAGAAAAATATTTGCAAAACACATATCTGATAAAGCTCTTGTATCCAAAATATACAAAGAACTCTTAAAATTCAATAGGAAAACAAAAATTCAATTTAAAAAATGAGCAAAAGATCTGAACAGACAACTCACCAAAGAAGATAGACAGATGGCAAATAAGCATATGAAAAGATGGTCAACATCATATGTCATCAGGGAAATGTAAATTAAAACAAGGAGATACCACTAAAAAATCCAAAACAGTCACACCACCAAATTCTGGCAAGGATGTGAAGCAATAGGAACCCTCATTCATTGCTGATAGGAATGTAAAATAGTATAGCCTCTTTGGAAGATGTTTGGTTGTATCTTACAAAGCTAAACATTGTCTTATATGAATGATCCAGTAATCATGCTGCTAGGTATTTAGACAAATGAATTAAAAACTTATGTCCACACAAAAACCTGCACACAAATGTTTATAGCAGCTTTATTCATAATTGCCAAAACTTGGAAGCAACCAAGATGTCCTTCCGCAGGTGAATGGATAAACAAACTGCAGTACATCAATACAATAGAGTATTATTCAGTGATTAAAAGAAATGAGATATCATGTCACTAAAAAAACATGGAGGAATCTTAAAGGCATATTGCTAAGTGAAAGAGAACAATGTGTAAAGGCTACATACTATGTGATTCCAACTATATGACATTCGGGAAAAAGCAAAAGTATAGAGACAGTAAAAAGATCAATGGTTCCTAGAGCGGGGGAAGAGAGGAGAAGAAGTGAACAGGTGGAGAAGAGGGGATTTTTAGAGCAATGAAATCATTCTATTTGATACAGTAATGGTGGATACATGACATTATGCATTTGGCAAAACCTATAGAACTTCACCACACAAAGAATGAACCTTAATGTAAACTATAGCCTTTAGTTAATAGTAATCTATCAATATTGGTTCATTAATTATAACAAGTGTACCACACCAATGCCAGATGTTAACAATAGGGGAAACTGAGGGGGGTGGAAGAGGGAATATATGCAAACTGTACTTTCTACTCAGTTTTTTTGTAAACCTAAAACTGCTCTAAAAACTAAAGTCTATTAATTTTGTAAAAAGGTATGGATGTTTTGAGAGAGAATGCCAAGTCAGTTTGTCATATCTATTTTGAGTGCTAATGGTATTTTTGTTATGCAGAATTGTTTTATGGCTTCTGCATTTTGTATCCTTCTGAAAAGTTGTCTCTACACAGATCTTTTGAAAAGAGGTTCCATATTTTCTTTTAATAGCCTATAGTTTCATTTTTCTTTTTTTAGAAATCTTTAATTGGTCTGGATTTTGTTTCAATGTTAGAATTGATCCTCATTTAAAATACCATCTTCTTGAAAAGACATAATAAAATACAAGCCATAGGGAAAACATTTTAGGTGAAATGGTATAACACTGATCTAAAACCTTCTCTATGTTGTGATGTGTATTGAGAAATGAAGCAGAATTCCTAAACAGCAGTCCATGGGCCCTTGGGGTTCATGAATGTGCTTTACAAGAAGGCCTAGGAATCCCCACCAGTATGTGTGAGTGACTGAGTGTGTATGTGTGTGTGTATATGTGTGTGCATGAATGCATGCACATACCATGTAGTCATATTGTGCATTTTGGATGGAGTGTTCTGTCAGTTTAATCAAGTTCTCAGAAGTGTTCACAAATCCAAAATGATCAAGAAACACTACAGTTGAGGCAAACTTTTCCTCAGAATAAACTCTGATAAAATTTCCCAAAAGGATGTTTTTATTGCCTACCAAATAGAATATTTACCTCTCTAGAGAATGTTTCCATGAACTCTGTTACTTAGGAATCATTCATGATTAAGCTCATAGAACCACATTTAGAAAAAACAAAAACACAAAAAAACCACTCATCTTCCCAATGACTATATTGCTCAGAAGCCCTACCAATAAGAATCAGTAAGATTTTGAAGTTTGTTTGTCCAGGACGTAAGGAGAAACTCACTCTTAAGATTCTTAAAATAAGAGAAAAATTATATCAAAGTATATAATTCATCATCATATATCAAGTCTAAGCGGAAAACTAAAGGTAAATGCTAACTTACTCATTTCTGATTAAATTATAAATAATAGAACCTTAATGGAAAAGTGGAAAGATTTCTTCTTGGCATATTTATTCATTTCATTTTTGTAGGTCTATTTTTTTTCCCCCATGGAAAAGGGTTTCTTAATTCTAAGAAATAAAAGTTGAGGAAACATTTCCATTTTAGGAGCTAGTGATTATTTCTTATCTGTACAAGTGTTTGTGTTTCTCCAATGAATTATTGATATACTTATTAAGAGTGTAATTTTTCCTGATATGCTGATGTTTATCCATGTACTTTTGTTCTTCATTTGAAGAAAAGAAGTATTAATGTTCTAAGGGACATCACCGGTTTTTAAATGCAGTTCTTTAGAATTTAACTTTTTAAATGAACAAGGAAATTAATATTTACTTTGTACTCTTAACTTATCCTACATTATCAACGTGAAAATGAATTAATGACAAGGATGCATGTACATCAAATATGAATATAAATAGCATACAAATTTCATAAAGTTGTATGTATGGAAAAAGAGTATATATTTTGATTCTGTTGTTGTAATGGTGACATCACCCTACATCTTGTTGACTATATTCTCTACATCTTGATATATATGTATGTGTGTATATATACTATGGATAGAGCTTTTCTACATAATTAATTTTAACCTGAATCTATTAATTACATCTAGTATGATTTGCTTTTCTTAATGTATGTTTGTGTGTTTGTTTTCTTTCCTATTGCACAGGAATTTTGGAGACATCCAATAGAGAAGTTGTATTAGAGAAACCTAGAGCAAATGAAAGCAATATTCCTTCAGAGCAATTGCTACTGGTAAAAGAGGTAAGTGAGGAAAAAAGCATGGTATTTTTTTATTCATATATAATATTATTGTCATATGACTGTGAATCCAATATGAATCAAAATGTCTTGAGTTTTACCCTTTGCCACTAAAAAAATAATTCCTGGTTGAATATTGGCTTGTAAGTTTTGGCAAAAATTGAATTTAGTGGGGACACTGCTCTCTTGCACAGTCCGTTCATGGAAGGTGCAGAGAGCTGGAAGTGAAGAGATCTTTTTTCTCAACTCATGGTCTAAACTTTGAGAATTTGTGCTGTCTATAATTGTTGAGAAGTGAGAAAATGGAGATTAAAAAAGGAAAAGAAAGAGGAAAAAAGAGTTTGAACTGGCCTCTTATTTTGGTTCGTCCAGCATATGCCTATTCATTCTCATATCCATTGCCATTCTTCTCCTGTTCTATTCTGTGTCGTAAAGAATTACATCTTCCAGGCTTCCTTGCTTTCTGGATTCTGGGAAGGTTGGCCAATGAAAGGCATTGATGGAAGACTGGAGGGTATATTTTGTAGAGAAACCAGAGCATTTCTTCCCCTCTCTCTGTTTTAGGGAATGTCTCTAGTAGTGGCTATGACTTCTTCATCTCCTCCGTGGGCCCTTCTACCAACACACAGTCCTTCCTCCATGGTTCCAGTTCCACATGGCAGGTCTGCCTTACTTTCAGCTTTGACTGGTGGTCCCAGGAACTAGACTCCCATAGACAGTTCCCTTTCTTTGTTCCTCCAGCCTGGAGTGGTAGTGGCTTCCTGCTGTATTAATATCTGTCTTGCTTCATAACCCATGTTTGGCTCCTCAAGTCTTCTATCACTTTAGTAACTAATACCCTATGTTAAAATTCTTCCTTTTGAAATACCTAGGGTAGTCTCTGATTTCTAAATGGATCTTCACTAATATACTAGGTAAACATTTAAAAAGGCAAAAGAACATAGAGTTTTAACAGAGTTTCAACCTAGAAAGCAAGGGAAACAATAAAAAAAAATGCAGTTATACATTATGCTTTAACCAAATATCAGAGTAGGTATTAAGAATACATATGTAGGTAATAGAAGAAAGAGATTCAACTGATATCTACTTTGTGCATGGAACAGCAAGCTGCATTATTTCCTCCTTCTTCTTGGATCAACTAGTAAATGTTCTCTATTCTACCCAGAATATGTATGATGCCAGACATCAGATGGGAAGAGTGGAAGTCAGCAAACAATATTTCATGAAAACAAATAGACTTCTAAGAGGAGATTTGAGTAGTAAACATTTTCAGTTTTCTTTTGAAGAGAAGCTATTAAAATCCTTGGTTTTCTATATTTTGAAAAGAGAATTCAGTTGGGCCAAGGTATTATAGTCACATATAAATTACTATGGGCAAAGATAATCATCATTGCACACACAAAAAATTGTCGCTACAGCCATGGCAATTAATGGCTATTTTTGCCAGAATATATTTTTTTCTTTTTTTTTTTAAAGATTGGCACCTGAGCTAACAACTGTTGCCAATCTTTTTTTTTCTTCCCAATCCCCCCTCCCCCCCCCCCAGTATATAGTTGTATATCTTTTTAGTTGTGGGTCCTTCTAGTTGTGGCATGTGGGACGCCACCTCAGCATGGCCTGATGAGCGGTGCCATCTCCGCACCCAGGATCCTAACCGGTGAAACCCTGGGCCGCCGAAGCAAAGTGCGTGAACTTAACCACTCGGCCACGGGGCCAGCCCCAGAATATATTTCCTTGAATGAATGAATGGCTTTAATCAATAGACATGCCCTGGTGGAGAGAACAAAAAGTAGAGTTTTGTTGTTGTTTTTAACAGAGGTAGGTTCCTTTTAATGTTTCTATCATAAATCTACAATTATACCACAAGACTATACCCATGACACTTCTAAAGTTTCACTTATAAGAAAGGAGATTCTCTGAGCTGAGTAGCTTCAATTATTAGTTTTATGTAAAAATAAGAAGAGAGATGTGTTTTCAGGTTCTATGATGTTAAAGGTCCAAATAAACTTTAGAAAAGAAAGTTCAATTACAACTTAATTATAAGGATAATGAGAATGGGAGCCACTTTTTCTGATTATGAGTCATGGAATCATAGAATTTTAGCTCTAGAAAATGAATCACCTTTATTACATTTTACAGTATATATAAAAAGCATTAAATTAGTGCTGAGTGGAATGTGTGTACAAGAAAATTAAACTAATGATCATAATCTCAATAATTTTAGACTGAAAGAGACCATAGAAATCATCCAATTCAGCTCTTTTATTTTTCTAACAAAAAACCTGAGATCCAGAAAAATAAGTAATTCAGTAAGAGATATTGAGCCTAGGGTCTTCTGAAGTTCAAGTCGGTGAATTATTACTGTAAAGAAGATTACATGAAAACAGAGAAAGTTTAATTCTAAGCATAGGTTTAGCCTACTACCCACAATATTTTTAGTACTTTAGAGAGCATTAGAGGCCTTGGGGGAAATATACACACGTAAATACATTGCCACGTGAGCCAAAGACCCAAAGAAAGAAAATGAAACAACACCAGCCTGCACTCCAACCCTTCCTACTCCCCCTCCACCCAGAGCATTGCAGATCATTTTAATTCCTCATTTCCTGGAACGAAAGTAGTGCTGCTTCCCATTTTGTGGGTGGAGAAACTACATAAAATTCTAAGGAAATAAAAATCTAGAAAGGTGCAGTGGTGTGTTTTCTCTGAGAAATTTATTTCTTATTGCTATTTTTTGGCTTGCCTGGATTTCTGAGAGTGAAAAAGAAATAAAAGATTGAATATTAAATGCTGTCTTATGTTACAATACTTGTTAACAATAAACTATAAAAAAGACTATAAAAATCTAATTTAGACTTTATTAAATATATTGAATTTAAAGGTTGCTTTATGTGATAAATGGTAAGTGTAACTTTCAATTCTCATAAAGATGGTTTTATTGGACGATATTTAAGAGATTAAATTTTGAAAAAAAATTTTGATTAAATCCACTGATGAATTAAAATGAAATGTCAGTATATTACTGTGTGTAAAGAATGCACATGTTTTTGTATATTGCTTTATTCACTAGGTAATATTTTTCAGGTTATAAGAATGGCTTTTACAATTTATCAAACAATACCTATATGCAATATGCCGAATGAAAGCAGTAATTTTATATCTATAACAATTGAAACACTTGTTGCTGAGTTAAGATTAATCTAACTTCATATAAATTTATCTTTCAGACTACTTTACTAGATTTTGGCTGGAGAACTGCATTTAAAGGGGTGTCTCTTCCCATGTCACATAGTATAACAGCAGCAATTGAAGATTTTTCCACAAAAATTCTCCAACAAGAACAGAATGAAAGGTCTTCAGCTGTGAGCTATACCATGAACCTTGTAAATGTCAAGCAAGTTTGGCAAGATAGCCATGTGGTTCCTGAGGAGGACCAACCAAAGAAAATTGCAAAAGCAAGTGTCAAATGAAATTCTTTCAAACTGTAGACTTGCATAATGAGATTTTTTTCTTTCCTTTTTAAAAAGTATAAGGCTTGACGAAGGGAACCTATAGAAAAATGGTTGTCTCTTGGCAAATATTTGGTACTTGACCCAGTACCGGTTTTCCTCTCTGGTATCCATGGGCCACTGCTAGCAAAAAGGACTTAAAACTGTTGCCAACTTGTTGCCTTTTGAGTCTGAGGCAACATGAGGGGGCCTCTGTGACTTCACGGGAAGCCGGGAAAACTGCTTGCTTGGCTTATATCTTTGAATGACTCCAGGAGAAATTTAGGAGATTGAAGCCCTTACTGTCTTTTATTGATTTAGGCAACTTTTAAACCTTTATTTACACTTTAATGAACATTCAATTTCATTAGCATCAATCTTACATCTTTACATGTGCTTTGAGAGTCACAGAACATACTAGGAAAATAGGAAGTAATTACGCAAATAGATAAATACAGTTATTCACTATTAAGTCCGCAATGAGTTCAACAAGCTATGATTGAATGCTTTTAAGAGAGTTCTTAAAGTGGCCTCCTTATTCTGCTACTGCCACCCTGAGGCTCCAGAACATTCAGGGGACACCATTGACTGATCTGGAGTGGAGGCAAGTTTTGCTTTCCCATCCACCATGCCTCTTTTACCATTAAGGAGTAGATTCATAATAAGTAGTGAAAAACTAGGCACATCACTTCTGAAAGTTGCTGAATTTTGACCAATAAGAAGATGCTACATGAGTTTGTTTCTGATGCTTCTAGATTAAAGTTAAACTGATATAACTTTATTTAGATGTGATGATTAATAAAAAAATGTTTTATGAAAATTTAGCAAAATAAAATTAAAATAAGTTCAAAAGTAATACAATCATATTAATATCAAGGATACATATTTTCTGAGTTCTATTAATGACAAATCAAAGTACCGTCTTGTAAAGCTATTTCATGAGTTTTTCATAATATCTGTCTGGTAAGCATAAGTTTTGAAGGTTACATATAGGGAAGCGTTCTTTTGTTATTTCCTTATTTGACATAAAATATTTAACTTTCTACAACTGAGAAATCGATTATTATAAGCTTGTGTCATTATATTTATGTTTGATGCCAAATTCTTTATTTAGGAATTTGGCTCCCCTGTACATAAATTACATGGTGCTGTCAGAGCACAAATAACGCAGTGCTACATTTTTTTCTCCCTAGTTTTGTTCTGACATCATGGAAAAACTTGACACAATGCTTCCACTGGCTCTGGCATGCAGAGATGATTCTTTCCAGGAAATTAGAGCAAACTTTGTGGAAGCCTGTTGTAAAGTGGCAACAGCTGTCCTGGTGAGACTGCAAGAGAGAGGAAAGGAGTTTCCTTCCAAGGCACCCCTGAAAAACTTGCACACATTGCTCTCCACAGCAGTGTATGTCTTCCAGCAGTTTTCCCGATATGATCATTTGATGAAAGAAACTACTAAGAAGTGAGTGTCATTTAAATTAAGTTGACGGCCATGCTTAAAGTAATACGTAATCTTTGGATTATCACAGGAGTGAAATTTTGATGATAATATTTGAGAAGGAGAAAATAATAATTAACATGGTGAATTGTTTTCCTTTGTCTTGACAGGGAAATGTCCAAAAGGTAGAGCATGGGATATATTAAATCAGATGCATAGATAGTAAGCTAGGTATTCTTTCTAAGGCCCATTCAAAGACCCATGCTTTTTCCATACTCTAATCTGGAGCAGGTATTTTCTGCATGCTGTTATGACATGACCAAACACACCCTTCCCATTTTGTAAAGCACATTGTGCTGGCTACACCAAAGGAAAAATAAACTTGTTTTTGTCCCACATATACACAGTTGTGAAATCTGCACTTCTCTCTGTTGTTTCTAAGCCAACAGACTGTTAGGAGCTGACAGAGAGAGTACATGCCTTTCAGTCTATTCCGCTAACCAATGTAAACATTTCAGAACATCCACTTAGTTAAAAAACTATCCTTAATGTTTGAAGAGGAAGCATCTGGCAGTTTTAATTCTCATGTATTAGTAGTCTAAAAAGATGATATGTTTTCTGGATAGAGAATAAAAATGACTGCAGGTATTATTACATGGTCTTTCTGCCTATCCTTGTATTCTCTAGAAGATAGATTGGACCCTTGCAAAGGGAACGTGTCAACTTGGCAGTCCACTGTGAGCCCAAGAATCCTTTCTATATTCCTTATTCAGCCTTTGCAGTCCCTTAGTTCTGAGAGAAAGCATTAGATAGTATAATATAGATAGCTAAAGATAAAAGAAAATAAATTTGGCTTGATGTAGGATATAACCATGATATTTCTTTAATTCTCATAAGTAGTCAGATGTTGTGATTCATACTTGAATTTATAAACAAAATGTACCAGAAGTCACTGTATTTTTGTAGAATATTTTAAAAGTTTATGAGATAATTGACATCTACAAAATTACAATTTTTAAAATAAAAAGAGTGTGTTTGTGGGATGTGATAGCTTTATAAAAGTTGCTTCTGACAAATGCATGTTGTTCTCTATAATAACAATAACCTAATGCCTAAATAATGTACTGATCTCTAATAATAGGCTTACAAAGAATACTTTTATTTTTGAATGATGTATTGACAGTGCAGTTTGTCTCAAGTTGAAGTGCATATTTGTGGAACAGCAGATGTACGTTTTCAAAGGACTTACGAAACAAAGACTAGCTTTTTTTTTCTTTTTGGAAAGTGAATGTGGATGCAGACTTCAGCATTAGGAGGAAATGAATGATTGATATCTAATAATCAAAACCATTTGTAGTACTGGAGATTGTTACCTCCTACTGCACAGGCCTTAAATCTCTGTCTCTTTGATCATTCCTTCTGAACAGACCCATATTCCTGGTGCCTGTCCAACGATATCAGGAATTCATCAACACTCTACAGTTTCAGGTTACGGACTACTGCGTCAGAGTTTGTGCTACAAGCATTTTACAGGATGCTGAGAGCCACCACTGGGATGACTACAAAGCTTTTTATGAGGTGTGAAGTTAAGTTTATTCTCCCTCCTTTTTAACAAATATGTTTTACTGCCTACCTGCTTTCTGGCTAATTAGAAACATGAGCTTGGCATTACTAACACACGAAGGCTGCTAGGATAATATTTTTTAAATATTGAATTTGTACTTAGGAAAAACACTGTTTTTAAAAACCTGAAATAATTAGACATCAGAACTCTCTCCTTCTGCTTAAAAGTAAAAATAACTTAATTTGAGTTGCAAGGTTTCAGTGCTATATAATAAGTTGGAATATAATGGGATACAATGAAAACTCAGAGATAACAATGCCAAATTGCTACAGCCTTGTGGTTTTTCCAAAAGGATCAGTTATAGATATTCTTGCATTTTTTTTCTTGTTATGTATTTCCATCTGTGTTTGATAAATATTTTTTATTAAACAGCTTTATTCTTTATATTTACTTTTTCCCTGCTCATTGTATATCCTTATGTGTGTGCTTTAAGACCCATCTGATCATTTATAGCTTACCTATTTTCATTTAGCCTGTGTTTTGAAATCCCAAATTTCTACTGAATTAAAGCTTAATGATTCCCAGTGCAATGAAACCCAGGATCAATTAAAATTATTCATCATCAGGCTTCATTAGTTTCCTTTCTCGTAAATCCTCTTGATTATACATAAGCCACAATACTTGAAATTCCTTGAAGTTGATTCCAAGGCAGGGTGAAACATTTATAATATCTTAATAAAAGATAATCAGGGTTTTTAAAAAATTCATCCATCAAGCCCAGCTCCATTAGCTTTTTCAGTTTACCCTTTCCTCCAGATTGAAGCTTATGATTTTTGTTTTTCCTGATTGTCCTAATCACTATGGAGTATTGAGAAAAACAGAGTGGGATTTTATTCAATGGAGGCACTCTTGTCACGTCCCTGACACTGAAGGTTCCTGTGGCTCCATTTATGCCTGAGTTATCATCGTCGTAAATGTTACCACAACAGAGAAGAAGAGCTAAGAAGCAGCTCTTTTAAAGGACTTTCCACTTTTTCTAAGGCCATTTCATCTCCCCTTTAGAGGTCCTTCCCAGATAGCTTTTCTTTTTGCAAGAGCCTCCGTATGAGTCTTCCAAACCTGACATACTTCAAACAGCAGTGAGCAGAATGCAAACGAGAAAGTGGTATGGTGCAGCTGGTAGCCTGAGATAAGAATGAAAGTATTGGTCTTCCCCTCTCCTGGCAGCATCACAGCTTCCTTATTGCCTGGGGTAAACAGAGAGGTTGAAAATGAATCTATCTCCTGTTTCAAACTATTTCAATATGTCAGTGTACTAATGAGCAATTTTATGTTTTAATTGAAAAACAGGTATCATTTCACTGTATGTCCAACATAGGGGTATTATGTTTCTTATGCAAATAGGGAGCTAGAAGAGTTGTACAGTATAAATAATATGTGGATACATTGAGAACCTGTTATTGAAGTTACTAAGTATTTTTTTAAAAAAACAACAAATTACCATGTAACACGCAGCTCTTACATCTTATGACAAGGCTTTAGCTTCAAAGACAGAATTAACTAGATAGTTACCCTGTGATTACATGGTACTGTAGCTTCCATATACTTACATGGTCAGTAGTTACAATTTAATTGCAGAGTTAATGGTGTTATTTATGCTCAGAAAAATAAAGTGATACTGCTCTTCTATTTACCAAAAATAAGAACCTTCTAAAAATAGCACAGATTTTAAACTGTTTTGACAACTGGAGTACCTGACATGGTTTTATCCCGTTTGCTGCGCCTCTTTCTCCTCCTCTCCCCATTATTCCAACTGATTTGTAAAACAGGACTAGCGTGTTTTTGGCAGGGCTGTTTGAGAGGAAAGGATACGAGATCTGTCTGACTGGAGGTGAAGGGTAGGATAGAGATCTCCGGGGAACCTATCGCCATGTGCAGAGTGTCATAAAAAAATAGTGAAAGAATTTACAAGACATAGAGCAATATATGTTCATGTTTTGTGATATCAAGTGAGCCCTAGATACATTATTTCCATTTTCTAAACTGTCAGCTTGAGAAAGTCGAAGAATTTGGTATCTCTCTGATGAGGTGCTGGTCAGATGGCACAATGGGTGTTCAGAGTACATGTTTAAAATTAAGCTTTTAGTATAGTTGACATCTGCTCAATTTTAGCAACAATTTTAGCGACTTATGTTTTCCAATACTCAAAGAATAAAGAATTGTCTGTTGAAAGATAATACTGAGTGGCTTATATAATAAAGCCCAGCTGCTTGTTTCCTGATATATAATCTAAATAAAAGCTCACATCTGTTTACATTATAGTAAGTCTACAAAAATAACAGATGTTTACTAGCAGAGTACTTTTGAAATGACAACAAATAGAGAAACAGGTCAGAAAAATAAATGAATCACATTTAGTTTAATGAAAACCCTTGCATACATTGATATTACACACATTTTGAAGAGAATTGTGAGAATGATGACCAGTTTGGAATGTTTTTAAGTAAACATGAAGGTTGTATTTTAAAAAGTCATGAAAATAAGTTTTTTCACTTTAGGAGAAGAAGTCTGTGTGTGCCTAAAGTTATTTTTGTTTTTCCTTTTATTGCTAAAAGGTAGCTATTAAGAAAATTGTTTTTTTATATTCTGAAAAATATGGGAAATCATGTTGGCTGTGTTATTATAACCACCCATCCACTGCCATGGAGAAAGTTAGGGTAAATCGTTCATACTGGTCATTACATCAGCTAGGGTCAGTTTTGCTTTAATTAACATACAACACGAAAAGTATGAGAAAATCAAGCTTTCAAACTCCTGTCTTACTTTAGGAAATTGTTTAAAAGCATTGTTTATCACAGGACACACAACAAAGAAAGCATTGGTGACTACAATTTTGCTGATCCACATTAATTCTGTAATTTTTTTTTATTAAATAGCTTTGATACACATCTAGTCAGGAAGTCAGAAGCCAGTGGTCCAAGTTCCTTTTAGCTTGAACTTGACCCTTTGACATTTTGATGCCCGAGTTTCCCACCCAAGGATAAAAATTCTACTCATTTCTAAACTTCATTTGAAACTATAAATTATTATTATTACAGTGATTGCAAAAGATTTTAGTAAATCAAAGAAATCACCAGAATAATAGTATGTAAGAAAAATACTAATAGAAGTATCTCATAAGAAACTATGAACTTTTGGTATAGAGAACAGATTTTTTTAGATGACATTTGTTTGAGAAATATAAGTAGTGGGCAAAGCAGAAATTTTAAGTCAAAGAGGATTACTTAGTGATAAAATGGGAAGTTTTACTAGTTTAACTTTTGATATAGTAACATAATCAGGATAATGTCTAAAGAATGCATTCTACTGTTCCTATTTCAAATAATCTTTTGATCTGGTTTGAAGAAAATGAGGTCAAACTACTAGCATACCTCCCTGAGAGCATGTTAACTAATTAATCCTTGTAAATCACTTGAGGCTACCTTCTCATTTCTGCCTGCTCCCCTTGGCCTTGGCCTCTGTCGGGTCCCCCTCTGCGGTCAGGGAAAATTTGGCACACAGAAGGGATCTGTAAGGGGGTCATAGGGAATGAGAATCTGGCCCCTTGAAGTATAACGTGCTATAAAAATACTAAGAAATGATGATATCTGCCTAGGCTTTACAAAATCTTGTAAATCAGACTACTGTAGTATCTGTTTCTAGTATTGTTATTAAACTACCTTGGATAAAATAGCATAATGTAATAATCTTCACTAGTTACCCATTCTCCTTGGTTTCATGCATGTTGATAAGGATACGGTATGCAAGTTTATTTTTGCTCCTATCATTTCATTATAATGTGAAATCTGAAACATTTATAAAATTATCTCAATGATGCTGTCTCAGAAAATATATACATACTTAATTTACATAATTAAATTTTAAAGGAATCAGCCCACCGTCTTAAACTAGCATGACTAGCAACCATAAAGCTGATTGTTTAAAAGTAAATTTTAAACTCCAGGCCAGGAGTAGGTAAATCAAGAATATACTAGGTTAAATGCTTGTGGTCTGGATTTGCACTAGAATATCTGGTTGCGTAATTGAAATAAAACATATGTTCCTTTGTCAATAAAGATGTTTTACATCTTGTCAAAAATCTTTCCTGGTCATCTAGTGTGTCAAACTCTCCAGCTATTTCCTTTCAGCCTGAACTAATTAGGTTCATAGGAAGCAAACTGATGTTTTGGAAGTCATGATTCTATTGTTTAATGTGCGGTCGTTTTGCCAGGGGGAAAGATGCTCCTTCTCGCTCCAGATGTGGCATTATTTCTTGTGGGCTCTTCATCACGATCTCTGGACCATTCTCTCCTCTAAGTTAGCCCAGGAGATTCTAGCAGAAGTGCTGGAGAAATCTTTGGGTCTACTAGCCTCCAGATATGCTCGGGCCCATCCCAGTTATAAGAGAACTCCACAGATAAGGTAATTGAAGTTGTGAAAACCGTTGCTTTTCAAGAAAACTTTTTCATCAGCTGGTATTAAGCAGAATGTAATTCTGAATCTCATGACATAACACCTTGTGTATTTAACATGCTTCTAACATCTGAAAGGAAATTGTGTTCAATTCTCCTGAGACACTCAAGTGGAAGTGTGGGACTTGAATCAAAATAACTTTGCTCTTTTTTCCTCTTAAAATTGTATAGAGAACCCACTTGTTTCTAAAAAATGATTCAAGACATATTACAATCTAGGACATATATATGCAGAAGTTAATAAATAAGATAAAGAGTGAAAATTAACATCCTGAAATGGAGAAAAAAGCAGCAGTGGTGTGATGAAGCAGTCAATGTGACTTTGAGATTCTAGGCAACCAAGGGATTTTAGTTTTAGTGTTTCTTTTTAAGCCTTTAAATAATGTAGTTAATCTTCATTAAGGAAACTCCATTGTCTGATTATTTTTCTCCTTAATATATTCTAATTACTTGTGTTCTCTTTTTATTTACTTTTTTTCCTTTGTTTTCATTATGTATTACTAAAAAGCCAGTTCAACAAATGTGAAATCACAGAAAATGAGGAGCAGCAGTCAACGGGTATTAAATTAAAGAGTGAATCATAGTCCAGTTCTGTGAGTTATCTAGGCAGTGAATATTACAAAAATGTGCTTACATGACACCAATGATTTATACGAAGAGTAGGCTTTTGTCTTATAAATATTCTGACTAATGTGATTAAGACCTGTCTTTTAGGTATAAGAATTTTTTTTCAGATCTATTTTAGGAGGAACCAAAAGACATCAGAGCTTTGTTTTTCGGCAGGAGGAATCATTTCCTGATCTCATTCTTGTAAAGTGTGCTGTATTTGAAGGGCGTTTAGGTCCTGCTACAGTGTTTCATAAATATGGTATTTTGCACAGGCTGTTTTGAATTACTCACCAAGCATTTTTTAAAACATTGAACTCTGAAGAAGAGATGGAAAATTCCTTTTGAGAGCAAAGAATATCTTCATTCTTTTCCTTACGTAGCTTAAATCACTTTTGACTATGAGGTGGCAAGTCATTATGAGATGTTTGTGAAATCAGATTTACTATGAGCTCATGAAATAGGTAGTATATTTAATTAATTAACTACACTATAGAGACTTTTGGTTTTTATTTTCTGGGTGGTTACATAAAAATGCCATGCAAAGCTAGAGTTATTTCTTGTAGTTTTTATAAGTAATATAAATAAATATTTTTATTTGAATGGTTAATCCTAAACCACCATTATTGTGGAAATCAGATTATGTGTGTGTGTGTGTGTATGTGTATATATATCTTGAATTTGTAATTGTTTAATTAGTGATTAGAATAAATGGATGCGAGCTACAATTAAACCTTTCTAAAGACAATTATTGATGCTTTTAGTATTCCCGTAGCCTCCAACTGTCGTAAAACCAAAACCCTATATGCGATTTTTATATAATATGTTATCTATTATTAATATATGTATAACTTTATTATATATATTAAAAATTTGAGGCCAAAATGTCATTTTAAAAGATCCTCAAACTTATTTGTTTTCTTGTCATTTCAAAATTTCCATCTTCCATTTCTTCAGCACTGAATTTGAGAGGAAAATAACTGAGATCTGTACAGTTTAGCCATATACCAAAATAATCTCTAAACGGATCTTTGGGTCTCTATTAAAACTCAAGAGAGATAGAAACAAGCAAATGAATTTATGAAAAAGATAAATAGTACAGCATATTTTCCACAAATTTATTAAATATTGGAAATGTCTGAAACTGTAGGCTTCTCCATTTGTCCTTCTGGTGTCATTTTTCTCATCTCCCACTTGCTGAGAGAACATTTTACCCAACCTTGTGACTTTCTTTTATAGCTTGTACTGGGTTGAGGAAAATTGTTCTGCTATCAAATTTTTACCTATCATATGTATGTGGACAATAGCAAATTTTCTTTTAGTTTGAATTCCCTTTTGTTGAATGTAATTTCAGGGAAAGTCTCTTGAGCTTCTTAAACAGAATCCTGATGGGGCAAAATCAACATATTTTTTTAAAAAGCACTCCTAAAACACTTCATTATTATAGACCACATGATTCCTAAAAATAATGGTATTATGAGTCACCTAGAAACTCAAACGCTATGATGCTTTCTATCTGTCTTTGATCTCTGAAGGTCTGTTATCCAACCAAATATTTCTATTCTTACATATATATGCTTCATATAAGAGATATGGATGATAGTGTATATACCAGGCAGAAAAACAATTTTGTTTAACATGATTTTTTCTTTTTCTTTCCAATAGACTTGATGTCACAACTATTTTAATATGCACTGAGAACATGTTATGGTCAGTTTGCACATCTGTACAGAAGCTTTTGAAGCCTCATGAGTATACAGATGATAAAATTTTTAGAATTCATACCCATTGTAATAATCTGTTTACAACATTAGTCATTTTGACTTCACCGTTAACTGAATTATATCAGTAAGTATCAAATATATTTTCTTTTTAGCTATTATGATATATAAAATAATGTGATTTAGCAAAGATATTTTCATACTACTTACTGAGTTGTGTGAAGTACCATGGAGAAATTTTTAAGCAGAATGTAATTAAGCAGAAGTGCCTTTTTGATTTTGTGAATTGGGCCATTTTATAAAACTAACACTGACGGGTTTCTTCATTCTCAAAGCAGTTTAGTCGTAATACTGTGTTATATCTCTATTGGCCAATCGTATTCAGTTGATAATGCTCCAGTACAATCAGGACCATTTTGTACTTCACTATCTGAGTTGCTTAAATGATCAAATTATATTAATGTGTTGGTTATTTTACTCATAGCTTGATATTCTATGAAAAAGAAAATCATATCTAACGGCTTTTTGCTCTTTTTAAAAATATGTTTTAGTTTTTAATTTTATGTAAAGTGATTTACTCTAATAAAACTTTTAAAAAGAGAATTCTAAAATATTGGCCATTCTGGAAGAGAATGCCACATTGCCAGTTAATCTGCCATAGACTTGCATTTTTAGTATTAGGCTTCAGTGTCTGAGCTAGTAATGGCAAGTGGAAATAGAAATAAGCAATTACACTTTTACAATGTTGAAATATATTACTTAGCTAAGTAAATAGGATTGAGGGAAAGGAAAAAGATTTTGAACTACTTTTCTGTTTATTTCACTCAAATTTATAATATTATAGAAGAGGTTGGAGTAGATCTTATAATAAAACATTAATAAAATTTTGTTTAAATCCTCCTCCAAAATAGTCACTTTATCCTGAAAGACTAGATCATTACATGTTCTTAGTTTCTTGGATGGTAAAAAGTATATATATTTCTATTCCTTAGGATAAATTAGGTAAAGTATTCCTTTCTGTGACATTCTGATAAGGGTGATATGTGAATCTTGATTTTCAGTAAATTTTGAGGCTTTTGTGTTAGAAATCCTAAGCATAATTAACAACTTTGATTTCAATTTCCCTATAATTTTCACCCACTCTTTGACTTTCAACAAACCCATTGTTTACAGATTGTTTCTTCTGGCAACCCTATGGTTGAGGACTAATTTTAGACATGGAGAATTCTTTCAGAAATGGGAAGGAATGGTGAGGTAAATTGCCATAAATTTGGGATTATATACATAATAGTTCATAATCATAAAAAGCTCAAGGTCTGAAGCCCATAATAAATCCTAGTAAACTAAACTGATTTACCATAGATGAAAAAATCACCATGCTCTTAGTTCAATGGGTCACTTCATCTAAGAGGAAGGCCCTGTGAAAATCAGGAACAACGTCGACAAATTTCATGGATTGGTCATGGTGAGCAATATTGAATTTCACGGTTTGTCACAGATGAATAGAAAAATTTTAACCCCCAATGCATTTGTAAAACAAATAAATTATTATCAAAGATTGCATATTTTAATAAAAATAATGTAACATGCATTCATTATTGTTAACCTACAGCCTTTTGATACATTTTTTACCAACGATGCAAGGACTCAAATCTCTGTGATTTGTGCATTAGATATTGCATTGTAACCTCATTCAACAAATTTAAATTGCTAATTTCAACTAGGATTACAGAACATTTTACACCAAGTACTGCCTCTGGTTTTTCTTAATATAAAACATAGATAGCTATAGTGCTTTGAAGCATGAACAAAAGCCTAGATATACTTTCTTTTCTAATATTTCTCAGTTAATAAAAATTTTCACGAGTTTTATCCATTCATATTGATTTAAATTTTATGATTGTTTTCCTAGAATATAGATCTAATCTTAGAAATATATTTTGCTTTGTATTGACAAAGGAAATCTACAGGGCAGCTGTTCCTCACCAACTAGGGAAAAAATTGTAAGTGTGTTGCAAGAACCCTATTGACTTATTTAGCTTCTTTTCACAGTCAGGATATGAGGTTGTCGTATTATTAGCATTTTAGAAAAAATTATATCTCTATCTCACATTTAAAAATTAAACTGTGTGCTTTGAGGACTTGGGGAAAGAACAATCAGATGTCGATAGTATTGAATTTTTTATAAACTGCACCTGACATTTGTCACTCTATGTGATATGCCTTTTTTGAAGGTGGCCGCCTTTCTTCCAAGTAGTTCTGACAGATAAACTGAATGTATTTTCCTTTCTGAGCTTAGCGTAGGACCACTAAATTCCAGGGCAGGAATATATGATTTTAAAATCTTCACAGGAAGAATGAAACATTTTTGCAAAAATGCGTTTTCTTTTTTAACTCTCCTTTGTAGATTTCTGTTAGAATGTTGTAAAAGGAGCACTTTAGGTTTGTCCTACAGGGAAAGAGACCTGCTGAAACATAAAATATTCACCGTGTATTTTCCAAAATGCTTATCGCCTGTAGATGTTTCGTAAAGGCAGTTGCACTGCACATTCAGAAGCGTACTGAGTGCACATGCACACACATACCCAGACAGTGGTTTCATATGTTGTGTTTTGCTTGCAGAGAGTATTAGTTTTAGTTTGTATATCGCAAATTAAAAATTAATTCTTAGAATTTTAGGAAAATGCAATTTAGTTTCAATTCAACAAATGTTATTGCCTCCCTAGCCCCTATGATTAAGCACAAGGATTAAACACAAGGGGTACGGCAGTGAGCAAGATGAAATATCTGCCCTCAAGTAATTTAGGAACGTATAATTTTTAATGTTAAAATTAGATTATGTATTTGTGTGTGTGTAGACATATATATACGTCCCCAAAATGTTTTGTTGTGTCATATAAAAACCCCTAAAAGTGCAAACTTTTGAAAATTGACCGTCCCCAATGTTACAACATTTAATAACGTGCAACAATGAATTTCAGTACAAGTGCCGACATACCAAAGACTGGAGTCATCAGAAATAGGCCAGAATGTTCATGATCATTAAGCCAGGGAACAGCAGACCTATCTTGGGATTCACTTGGTATCACTCATGTGGCTTTTGAATCCCTAAATTCCAAGGTATTTCAATGCTGTGTCTATAGTTTCTTTTCAAACTAGTGCTAGGTGTTTTGATGTTATGGTCTCAGCCTATTTATTTATTTATTTATTTAAAACTATTTCACTCGTAAAATGGAAAACGTTGGATAAAACTTTGTTTTTCATACCACGAGATTGTCTGGCACACTCTGGAAAACAGGTAGTTCCTCCAAATGTTATGCATAGAATATGCTTACATAAAATGTTGAGCATATGGTCATATGACCCAGAAATTTTACTCATAGGTGTATACCCAAAAGAAATGAAAGCACACGTCCACACAAAGGTTTGTACACAAATGTTTACAGCAGCATTTTTCATAATAGTACAAAGTAGAAAGAACCCAAATGTCCATCAACTGATGAATGGATAAACAAAATGTGGCATATCCATACAGTGTAATATTGTTCAGCGATAGAAAGGAATAGAGGACTGATCGATGCAACAACAAAGATGAACCTCAAAAACATTATGCTGAGTGAAAAAAGCCAGATGTTAGAGTGCACATAGTGTATGATTCCATTTATTAGAAATGTCCAGAATAGGCAAATTCATAGAGACAGAAAGTAGATTAGTGGTTCCCAGGGGCTGAGAGGGAGGGAGATTGGGTAGTACCTGCTGATGGGGACAGGGTTTCTTTTGAGGCCAATAAAAATGTTGTAAAATTAGATAGTGGTGAAGGTTACACAACTCTGTGAATATAATAGAAATCATTTAGTTGTACTCTTAAAATGGGTAAAATTTGTGGTATGTGAATTATATGTTTCAATAAAGATATTAAAAAATGAATGCAGACTGAATGGAAAAAAATAAAAATTTTTTACATGTAAAAAACCAAAAATGTGTCTGGTAGAATTCAAAATGATCCAGAAAGTGACGTTAGTTGTCATAGCCATTTTGTTTAGACTAAATGACTTTCTTTGTTTCATTCCCTCTAAACATTATTTTACAGGGGAAATCTCTATTAAAAAATTTTTTAAAAATAGCTTTGTGTGTGGTCCTAATAAGACAAAACCCTTAGGTGAGGGTGAAGGGCCAGTCATTAACTTTGGAGAAGGCCTGTGCCCTGGGTCTTTGACTAGCTGGGTCCTGCTCTATACTCTGGGGTCAAGTCTTGTTCTCTTTCTCAACCATATGTCCTGTTCTCAGACGGTCCCTTGGCTGTGTACCACCCAACAGTGCTCTTCAAATATGACCTCAAAAATTCCTCCTCCTTTCCACTAAGCAGATCTGACAGCACCTTCTACTCATTCTTTCTCTTTTTCTCTTCTTTCTTTTTTACCAGTTTTTAACAGTATGTACCTACTATAAGCCAGGCACTGTGCCAGTCGTTTTCTAACTTCAAATCATCATTTTCTTACCTCGAAGAGTTATCTTCATGATGAGAAACACAAGCCAGGGGGCAGGAGAAATGTGGGAGCCATATTTTACTGCACTGTCTTACTTTGATTTCTCTCACTTCATGACATTTAGGCAACTACTTATAGTCCCAGGAGTAATGCTGGTTTATGAAAGCAAAGCAGTGACTAAGAATTATGTTTAAAGTGGTGAAGTGGATTGAATTTGGTTATCTACATATTCATGGTTAGTTGTCTGTGATTTTAGGGCCATCAGAAAGGCTCCCATGTCCTCAGTTATCTCAGGTATTCCAGTGCTGTCTCAATAGTTCAGTTTCAACCTAATTCTACTTTTTCTGAAGTTGTGCTCTTCTCCTGGTATTTTTGTTTATTGAGCACCACCAACGGCTTAGGCATTGTGGTAGGCGCATGATACAAGATATCTGACGTGATCCCTCTGGCCTTGTGGAACTTACATCCTTGGGCTTCCTTGATTCCATCCTGGATGTTTATTCCATTATCATCATATTATGGGATGCAGTTCTCCCAGGAGGGCAGCCAAAAATCAGGGTGGCACAAGGGAGGCATAAAAAAACCTGGCTAACTCTTTTTAGTTTATCAATTGTTCTCACTTTTGATGTGCATTGCATTTATTTCATTCTAGCAGCAGCTGGCTACATAAGCCCAAGGAGTCAATCAGTTTTTTAATGAAAAAAGGCAGGCAGGCAATATAATTGTAGATATGAGAACCAAAAGAGACTGAATCTGGGGTCGAGTGCTCAGGTGGTGTGGTGTGTTCAGCCCAGGGCCAATATGATGTTATGAGAGGGAAGGGGCATGGGCTAGTTGATGTTAGGGGAAGGGCAAAGGCAAAGAATTTCTCCAAATTCATTTTTTCCCCCTTAAACAAAGCTTCTACTAACTTGGAAATGTGAAGAATTATATTCTGCTTCAACCTATAGACAATTACTTATTTTTAAAGGACTATTTAAATTTGCTATATCAAAATTCTTTGGGGTCTTGTGGCAAATATAATTCTGTGGCTCCTATGATTGTATTTTACTCTCCACCATGAATTATTTAGAGCATCCTCTCTTTTAACGGTATACAGAAACATCATTAGAGGTTCTCTAATAGCTCGCTCATCATTTCATTCCCCCATTGAGGCTTGTGGGCCAATTTTCACCCTGTTATGCTCTCCAGAATAATGAAACTAATTTGGGATCTTGCTGAGGAATTAAATGTTCATACAGATCCCACCCCCTCTGAGACCATAAACATCTGCCATAAAATTTCTTATAGCCAAATAACGACTGAGACACCATCAGTGGAGTAAAGGAGTTTAGGTACCAGCAGAAATGTTCTGGGAGTATTGTATTGCCAGTGGTTTGTAGTCTAAGAAATTTTGGCACCAAATAACCATTCCATTATTATTAGATCCTCCATTATTTTTTCTAATCTTGAGGATAAAACTGTAACTAGGCAACTATTTAGACTATTAGGAATTCCATGTCAGTTTTGAGATAGTTGTAGACCTTTGTAAGAAGTGTTTGCAACTGTTATCATACTAGTAGTCTTTTAGGTATTTTGAGCCCTTATAACGTACACTGCAAATTCCTTTATATGCATTATCTCAGTCATCACACTGACCCTGTGAGGTGGTTGTTTTCCTCATTTTACAAATGAGAAAACTGAAACTAAATAAATTGCCAAATAAGATTACACTTCTACTAAAGAGCCCACCCAAGGTACAAACCCAGGCTGCCTGGCTCCAGAGCTCCTGCATGTGCCCATGCACTCCCTCTAAAAGATCTTCAATAACTCTACCCTTAGGTATGGAGCAGACAGCAAAAAGTAAATGTAAAAGGAGGGAGGTAGAGTTAAGTCCTAAGAAGAAGCAAAGCAACATAAGGGCATAGAGAGGGATGAGATGGTGAGAAGGGATATATTTTAGACAAGGTGGTCAGGGAAGACTTAGAGAAAGTTTTGAGGTAGAGCAATCTGTGGAGCTAGCTGAACACGACAGTGAGGGCATTCTAGGTAGAGTATTCATTCTTGGAGATATGAGGTGGCTCCAGGTAACTGGACAAATGGGGATTTATGCAAAGGGCTCAAAGAGGTTGGTGGAAGAGTAGGCAGAGGCTGTGATACCACAGCCTCCAGTCCCTCTTGCTCTCTCATCAAGCCCTCCTTCTCTTGTCCCATCCTATCGCCCCAGTCTGTCCCTTCCTTTGAGGCTGCTTTTCTTTCCAGACTCCTTGCCGCATCTCCTCTCCCATTATTCTAGCACCATCTTCTTCCTACCTCCCTTGCTATTGCATGTCCTTCCTCTGCACCCTTCTTTCTTGGCCTTTCTATCCAGACTCTGGAACACCGCTGGCGAAAATCACTCAGATTCCTTTTGTACCCTCTGACAATCCTACTTTTTGTCCTTTCTCTGGGTTGCTCCCTCTTCCATCTATCTCCACTTTGGCCAAACCCTCCACTTTGCCCCATCCCCCTGTTTGTTAGCAGATGGCCTTGCTCCTATACTTCTCTGAAAAAACCCAGACCATCATGAATGCACTTTAACTTCTTATCTCCATTCTTAATAATTATCTTTATCCCTGCTCACCTCTGCAACCATTGATTGGTGATCAATGTATCTCTTTTTCCAACCAAAACAAATCTTTTCACCTGAGCCCTTGATCACCTTTACCTCCTATTTCATGGTCTTAGTCTTTTAAATATTCTTCCCATCCTCTGGTTCTTTGCCCCAGGACTCTCTTGTATTAAAAAATATTCCTTCTTTACTATTGTGTTTCCCTCCTAAAACATAGTTTGCACTGATTGTCTCCATTTGTCCACCGACTGTTCACTCAGTGCACTGCAATCACCCTCATCATGCTAAACAAACAAGATAGGCCAGATAGTCCATGCCTTCCCAATCACTAACTCCAATTTTTGTCCCCTCATTCACTTACCCTCTCTGCAGCTTTTGACACACTTGGCCATTTCTCTTCCCTTGGCGTCCCTAACATCCCTTTCTCCTGGCTCTTTGCCTACTTCACTGATTATTCCTCTTGATTTCATTTGAGAGCTTCTTCTGACCTTACCCTTTCAGTGCTGTGTGCTCCAAAGTTCTGTCCTTGACCATCTTTTCATCTTATACTCTTTCTTTCGGTGAATTCACCTACTCCCATGGTTTCACCATTATGTTAATAACTTCCATATCAATATCTTCAACCAAGATATCTGTTGTATATCCAAATTTCTATTGGATGTCTCTCTTTGGATGTACTTCAAATGTCTGTAGCTCCCTCAACATATCTAAAACTAGGTAAAATACCTGCAAGTCATCCCAGGCCTCTGCTTTTCCCTTAACTCTTTGTGCTTCTACTTTCCCTTTCATGCCATTCCAACACCATGTCTTAGGGGATGAATATTGTTAATTCTATTAATTTCATATTTTTTTATATTTGTCTCCTACTTACTATCTCCTTTGCTTCTTACCTTGGGACCTTGTCCTCTTCTACCTGGTCTACACAATATCATCTTCATGATCTCCCTTCCCCAGGAGGAAAGGCTTGATTCTCTCCAGTCCACCCTCCTTGCTAGTGCTCAAGTGATTTTTATAAAAAGTAAAATGCTGCTATCACTCCCATGCCATAAATTCTCAGTGATTCCTCATCGCTAGTACGAAGTCCAGACTGCTTCGAAAGGCACATCCTGGCAACCTGACCTAGCTTCTGCCCATCTCTCTAGTTCACACAGTGGACACATGGAATGGAAATACGACAGCCTGTTGGAAGCCTATTTAAGAAATATCATTCCATTCTGAAATTTGTTTAGAAAAGAATGGCTTTCAAAGAGGAGATTGTATAGTAAAAGCCTAAAAATAGTCAAAGTATATTTAATTAGAAGGTGTTCTACTTGGCAAGACAAACAGGGGAGAGACAGGTCAAATTTGGAAAATGTGAGGATACAAGAAGCAGGATGTGGAACGAAAAGACAGGGTTTTCAAAATGGAATTCTGTTCTACAAATTATTTAAAACACATTTTTGCTCCTGTACTATATATAAAGAGAAATAGTACCACTTTAAACAATTCCATTTCTAAAATAGTCCCAGTTGTCTCTCTTAACTCCATGTAGGCAAATATAGTCTTCTGTTAGTATAAAGTTTTTATTAGCCGAGCTATCTACTAAGATTTTATGTAACAAATCCTTCCTTATTACCTCAAGATTTATTGTGGAATTCGGGCCAACCTAGAAAAATGTTACAGTCACTTTTCCAAAGATAGTTGTAGACCAGATATTCTGGCCAGATTGTTCTAATTTTCAAATCATAGTCATATATTTTACAGTTAAATTCGTCTTTACAAGGCCTGTGTAGGCCCTTAGGAGCATACAAAATTAATTATAAATTCTCATTAATTGCTGAGTATTTATAAATCACTTTACATAGTAAAAAGAAGTACCTTTAGGTTAAACTTTTTTACCCTAATTAATTAATGAAGCAAATATGACAAAATATTGACATTTACTGGATCCAGGTTAAGGAGGAAGATGTAATTGGTATTCATTGTGCTATTCCTTCTGCATTTACTTGACAAATTTTATAATGGAAGTTTGTTTTTTTTTTTTAACTAAATGATAATGATGTTGTCATACCTTCCCAAGTATAAGGATTGTTATATAGAGGCCTCTGAGCCATCTATTAACATAAATCCCAAGTGGATGAAGTAGATATCCTTTCTAGCACAATACCATTTTATGTAAAATCATTAACTTTAAGTACTTAGTAAAAATAAAGTTTTGGGGCCAGCCCGGTGGCGCAGCAGTTAAGTGCTCACGTTCTGCTTTGGCGGCCCAGGCTTCGCCGGTTCGGATCCCGGCTGTGTGCGTGGCACCGCTTGGTGAGCCATGCTGTGGTAGGCATCCCACACATAAGGTAGAGGAAGATGGGCATGTATGTAAGCTCAGGGCCGGTCTTCCTTGGTAAAAAAGAGGAGGACTGGCAGCAGTTAGCACAGGGCCAATCTTCCTCAAAAAAAAAAAAAAAAGTTTTGATGGTCTTCATAGTGAATGTTTCCTACATATTCTGAAATAATTATTTTTATTTCCCTAGGACTTTTCAGTATGGCATGGATGATTCTGCCTCAGATTCCTTAAAGCCATTTTTCAAGCAACCATTACATTGGTTTTCTTGCATATCACATTTCTACCCTTCCTTACTCAGGTGAGAGCCTCTAAATGCCATGTTATCTATAATTCTATGATTCCTTTAAAGTTTAATAGAAATTTTTATCCATGGAAGTAAATGAACCTTACAAAAAGAACTTACAACTTTTTACAATACACAGGTAAGTAAAGAGTATTATTTCTCTTTTTTTTAGCTCAAGAATCCAAGATACAGGCCTCATGATAATTCTGCTAACTTATAGCTTAACTGATGTAATGGAAAAATGTGAATTTTTGAAATTTAGTTCTATTTTAGCTAATTACCTAACCATTTTAAAATTCATCTTTCTTGATCTATGACTGGGAATTTGACAGTTCTCCAACTAATTATTAAAAAAAGCAAAACTGGATAATTCATGTAACTAACTCAGAGCCTTAGATAAAAGTTGAGAGAGGAATAACTTTTAAAATTATGAATAGGGTCTTTCACTTTTATTATTTAATTTGTAGCATTTAAATATAAGAAAAAATCATTTAAAGCATGAAATGTACTTCCAGAATGATCTGATGACATTTTGTGGCATTATGTGGAATGCCAGTTTGCTTCTTTGCTGAATATATCATTAGACAGTACCTTTCCTTGGTATCTGTGAATAAATATATCATATATCGCTGAAGGAGATATTATTAATCCCCATACATTCTTGATTTATCTTGGAAATACACTATCAGTGATTTTACCATCTAAATTGACTGACTGTATCTCTCTCTTGAGAAACAAGAGTCCTACCCATAAATAGAGGATGTGAAAGCCTCATGCACAGAATGTCTATAGACACAACAGACACACACTATTTACCTATTATGTGCCTGTTCCCATATAGTTAATGGGGAATCCAAGATCAATGAGACATAGACTCTACCTTCAAGGACTTCAGTGTATTGTTTTTACTTCACTTACGCATAAAAGTTTTTCAGTATCTCTGATTAATTCCTTATGATTGAGTCTTAGAAGTTGAATGCCTTTAATACCCTGTCTTTGCAATACCCTCCAGCTTGCGTTTAAATATACTCTTATATCATTGAGAGTTAAATAGCCTACTCTTTAATAATCATTATTGCAAAAATAACAAATTAAGCAACTGGATCTTTTACAGTGGAAGTCAAGTAAACGACCTGTGTCATTCTGATGAGTTCCCAAATTTCTAAACATACTTATTCTTCACGTTGTTATCACATTTGCTTTAATCTATTTGCATTGTCTGCTTTTGTCTTAGTCTATAACCGTTGGCATTATCATCCCCCTCTAGGGGTCGCTCTGCAAGTCTTCCACCTGCAGGCTTGCTCCATCCGGCCCTGCTAGAGGCCTGGGAAGTCAGCAGAGAAGTGGGTTTATCTTTCAAAGAGCGACTTCTGTTTAACTTCATTCTCTTTTCTATACCTAAAGCAAGCGTATATGTAATAAGACTTTTCTTTCTTTCTGCTTCTGTGTAGCAACCAATCTCCACTATTATCCTAACACAAAGATTAGAACATGGGGGTGATTACTCAGCCCAGAGTGGAAATGCAATTTGATACAAGCTTTCTGGAGGGCAGTTTAGTGAGCTGTGTCAAAAACCTAAAAAATATTTCTGCCCCTGTATCCAGCAATTCCGTTTCTAAGAATCAATCATAAGGAATTAATCAGAGCTGTTGACAAAGTTTTGTATGTAAGGATATTCAATGAAGCATAATTTGTGAAAGAAAAAAAAGGAAATAAATGTCCCACAGTGTGGAATTAGGGAAATTAATTATGGGTAGTCATACGATAGACTACTGTGGGGTCATCAAAAGGGCCGATTTTGGAAAATATTAAATGATGTACATTTAAGAGGAAACTGCAAGTTTGTAATTATGACATTATCAAAGCCAGTCGAGTTTTTAGAGTGATAACTGTGTACCAGCCATGCAAGTGCTTCAAGTACATTCTCTGTTTTAAACCTCACACCAGTCTGTGAGGTAAGTACTCATGTGCTTCTTTCATGGAGAGTAAAGTGATGTGTAGGTAGCAACTACCAAAGGGAACAAAGCTGGGAGGCAGACTCTGAACCTGGGCTTGTCTGCTTCCAAAGCTCAAGCTCCTGAGAACTCCACCTTCACCTTTCAAAGGGAGAGTAGTTCAGAGGGATGTTAACAGGTGTGCATGAAAAATCTCAGATTGTCAGTAATTCACCCCGTAAAGTCTCTTTTTAGAGTTCCACTTTGCCAGGGCTCTGATATACTAATGCATAGTGTTTATCTCCAAGGGAGGGGTCTAGTATGCAGATCCTCCAAACTTACTGGATGTGAGAGCCTGTTTCCCAGGGGATGAATAGTTACTGGAAGGTGGGGTACAATTGAGAAGTGTTGAACTATGCCTTACTGCTATTCATATATCATTTAAAAAGTATGCATAGAAAAACAAATATTGAAAGGATATATACTAGAGAGTTTATAGTTTTTATCTTTGTTATGTTGGATTGCAAGCAATTTTAATTTTTATCTGTATTGTTTCCTATGTTTTCCAAATTTCCTATAATGAAAACAATTTAATTTTATTCAGATAAAAATGTTTTTAAAGTAAAAAGAAACTTCATTTTTAATTAATTAATTTATTTTTTTTGCTGAGGAAGATTTACCCTGAGCTAGCATCTTTTGCCAATCTTCCTTCTTTTTGCTGAGGAAGACTCTCCCTGAGCTAACATCTGTTGCCAATCTTCCACTTTTTGTATGTGAGCCACTGCAACAGCATAGCCACTGACACATGAGTGGTGTAGGTCTGTGCCTGGGAACTGAACCTGGGCTGCTGATGTGGAGCACACTGAACTTCAACCCCTGGGCCATCAGGGCTGGCTCATGAGTGCAATACTTTCTCATAGTTATTCTCTAACGGGTCCATATAGTCTACTTAGAAAGGCATGATCCATGTGATTTATGACCCAACACGTTCAGAGCAGTGGTGTAGTCAGAGCAACCCAGGGTAGTAATAAAAGTAATATCAAAATAACTCAAGTTATTGATTTGCATTTGTCAAACATTGCAATGGAGACTCCTGGACAACTACCATGTGACCTTAAAAATATCCACCTTTCCATCCATTTCCCTCACGTACATTAGCTGTTTCTGTGAGTTTTTCACCCCGAAATTATCCTTCAAAACTTCATTCCTCACCTTAGCAACTAAAATGAACTGTTCAGGGAAATACATGGGTCAGATGATGACAAACTAAAAATTATTAGGCTTTTATTTTTGGAAAAGGTGAGGCTGAGAGGAGAGATGACTGAAATATTTAATATTATGAAGGATCTTAGTAATTTTTTTACCTATTTGCTTATTTATTTACATCTGTGCATTGTTTCAGTAAGGATTTAAATCAGCTTTTAACAATACTAAATATAATAAGATATTGAGTTAAAAGTAGATGAGAAGAAGACTTGAAATTAAGACTTAAAATAAGAGTTAACAAATGTATCAACAATTGTGTGGACTATAAATTTGCCTATAGGATTACTAGAGAAAGCCTATGAATTATAGAAACTGGTAAAAATATAATTTTTTGTGTTCCCCACAACCCCTGGAAGAGAGTTTACAAGAGTTTGCTTTAGGGAAAATAAATGTATTTTCAAAGCAGTAAGTAAAATGTACTGTATTCATTATCTCTATCGGTGGTACAGGCTAACAATGTGAGTTGATTTAGAAAAGGTAATCAGTTTCATACTAGATTAAACTATGGCATGTGGAGAATATATTAGTCTCAAGGATAATACCATGACACCATACTGTGCCTTCACATAAATGTTCAAGAAAGAAAACTATCTTAGTCAATTATACTGTTGCATTATAATGCTTTTTATTATTTTTAAAATTTTCATCTTCGTGTGATTCCTTAAATATTTCAAAATATTTTTCGGGTCTTCCTTAGCTAAGTAGGTCATAACTGCACACTGAATCCGAGTAGCGTAATCAGTGTGAGTAAACAGCCCATTCGTTTTACGCTGTTCGTTTTCTTTTATGATAACAACATGATGTTTTGATTCATGGCCAGTCCATTCTGAGCTGTAGATATTCTTCCAACTATGCTTTTGTTTCTATTATGGTTTTATTCAATGTAATCCTGTTTGGGAATTTTATGCTTTTTTTCCTTCCCTAAATACATTAGGCTGACTTTGGCTTCATTATATTAACATGCTACGTGGGTCTTTCCTTTTACCTAGTTCACCAAGATGTGTTCGTTCAATCTTTCAATAAATGCATTTAATTATTTTTCTCCAGGTAAGGCATGTGCTAGATGTTAATGGTGAGGGAAGAGGTAGACAATGAAGTTTCTCTGTCTCCTTTGCAGGTTCATCTACTTTGACCTGGCCATTAAATAGTAAATGTCTTTAGCATTCTATCATAGAATGTTTTCCAGGGGAACTCATACATGCCTATGGCTTCGTGTACTCCTTATGTGTCGTTAAATGCATATCTCTAATTTTAACCCTTTCTAGGACTACCGACCTTTTTATCCATGGGTACCAACCCTACATGAATGCCTTTCTGAGGTTTATGCCTGCAAACATGAAAACGCCTCAGACTCAACATGACTGAAGTTGAACTGAGGATACTTCCTTCCAAACTGATTCTCTTCTATTTTTCCCTACTTTGGCTAATGGTACCTGCATGTAGTTGTACAAGTCGGAGACCTAGGAGGCAGCCAGAACACCTCCCTTTTGCTCTCCTACCAGATCCAATCCATTACCAAGTCTCATTAATTTTAACTCCTAATATCTGCTATCCATGGCACCACCTTTGCCTTAGTCCTGAAGCATCATCTCTCTCCTGACTACCGCAATGACCTCTTAGTTTTCTTCCTGTATATATATGTTGATTCCCATTTCCAGTATTCTCCAGACTATAGCCAGAGATTTCTCAAACCCAAATCTATTTTCAAAACTAAATTTTATGATTTCACACTGTGGCTTAAAAACCTTCCATGAATTCCCATTTGTCCTTAAATATACACAGAAAAGTTTAGCATGGCCTATAAGACCTATATAG